TCAAATGAACCTATTTGATGTCTACAGAACATTTCATCCAACTTCTACACAATATACATTATTCTCAGCAGCCCATGGAACCTTCTCCAAAATAGATCATATGCTAGGGCACAAAGCAAGCCTCAGCAAATATAAGAAAATAGGAATTATACTATGCATTCTATCTGATCACAATGCAATAAAACTAGAACTCAACAACAAAAGTAAAGACAAAAAACATGCAAACTGCTGGAAACTGAATAACTCATTACTTATTGAACAATGGCTCATTGATGAAATAAAAGAGGAAATTAAAAAGTTCCTGGAAGTCAATGAAAATGAAAACACAACCACTGGAACCTATGGGACAAAGCAAAGGCAATCCTGAGAGGAAAGTTTATAGCCATGAGTGCATATATTAAAAAGACTGAAAGATCCCAAATCAATGACCTAATGATACATCTCAAACTCCTAGAAAAACAAGAACAAGCAAATCCCAAAACAAATAGAAGGACAGAAATCATAAAAATAAGAGCTGAAATCAATGAAATAGAAACCAAAAAAACCATACAAAGAATTAATGAAACAAAAAGTTAGTTCTTTGAAAAAATAAACAAGATCGACAGACCGCTGGCAAACCTGACTAAAATAAGGAGAGAAAAAACCGAAATTAGTAGAATCAGAAATGCAAAAGGGGAGATAATAACAAACACCACAGAAGTCCAGGAAATCATCAGAGACTACTTCAACAACCTATATTCAAATAAATTTGAAAATCTTAAAGAAATGGACAGATTTCTAGATACATATGATCATCTAAAACTGAACCAAGAGGAAATTAATCACCTGAATAGATCTATAACACAAAATGAAATTGAAGCAGCAATCAAGAGTATCCCCAAAAAGAAAAGTCCAGGACCTGATGGATTCTCTGCTGAATTCTACCAGACCTTTAAAGAAGAACTGATACCAACCCTCCTTAAACTGTTCCATGAAATACAAAGGGAAGGAAAACTGCCTAACACATTTTATGAAGCTAGTATTACACTTCTCCCAAAACCAGGCAAAGACACCTCCAAAAAGGTTAACTATAGGCCAATCTCCTTAATGAACACTGATGAAAAAATCCTCAGTAAAATAATGGCAAACCAAATTCAACAACACATCGAAGAGATCATTCACTACGAGCAAGTAAGCTTCATCCCAGGAATGTTCAACTATACGAAAATCAATAAACGTAATAAACCCCATTAACAGAAGCAAAGACAAAAACCACTTGATCATCTCAATAGATGCAGAAAAAGTATTTGATAAGATCCAACACCATTTCATGATAAAAGCTCTAAGAAAACTAGGAATAGAAGGAAAGTAACTCAACATTATAAAAGCTATAGATGACAAACCTACAGCCAGCATTATACTTAACAGAGAAAACTGAAAACCATTCCCTCTAAAATCAGGAACTAGACAAGGATGCCCACTATCTCCATCCTATTCAACATAGTACTGAATTCTAGCCAGAGCAATTAGCAAGAAGAAGGAATAAAAGGAATACAAATAGGTAAAGAAACTGTCAAAATATCCCTGTTTTGCAGATGACATGATCCTATACCTTAAAGACCCAAAAAAAAACTCTACTCAGAAGCTTCTAGACACCTATCAAGTAGCTATTACCAAGGTAGCAGATATAAAAAATCAAAGTAGTAGAATATTAATCATATACACTAATAATGAACAAACTGAGAAAGATATATGAAAACAATTCCATTTACAATGGCCTCAAAGAAAATCAAAATATCCTAGGTATAAACCTAAACAAAGAATGTGAATGACCTCTACAAGAAAACTATAAACTCTGAAGAAAGTAGACTGAGGAAGATTATAGAAAGTGGAGAGATCTCCCATGTTCATGGATTGGTAGAATCAACATAGTAAAAATGTCTATACTCCCAAAGTAATCTACATGTTTAATGAATGTCCCTCATCAAAATTCCAATGACATTCATTAAAGAGATTGAAAAATCTACCGTTAAAATTATATGGAAACACAGAAGGCCACGAATAGCCAAGGCAATAACTCAGTCAAAAAGAATAATGCTGGAGGTATCACGATACCTGACTTCAAACTATATTACAAAGCAATAACAATAAAACAGCAATGGTACTGGCACAAAAACAGACACGAAGACCAGCGGAACAGAAATAGAGACCCAGATATGAAGCCACACAACTTATCCAACTTGTCTTTCACAAAGGTGCTAAAAATATACATGGAGAAATAGCAGCCTCTTCACAAACTGCTGGAAAAACTGGTTAGCAGTCTGTAAAAAACTGAAACTAGATCCATGTATATCACTCTATACCAATATTATTACTCAAAATGGATCAAGGATCTTAATATCAGATCCCAAACGCTAAAGTTGGTACAGAAAGAGTAGGAAATAATTCAAGGATTAATAGGTATAGGCAAGAACGTTTCTCAATTGGAACCCCAGCAGCACAGCAACTAAGAGAGCATAGATAAATGGGACTTCATAAAACTAAAACCGCTTCTGCTCAACAAAGAAATGGTCTTCTAAACTGAAGAGAAACCACAGAGTGGTAGAAAATATTTGCAGCTACACAAGGAGGACTGACCAGAATATATAGGGAACTTTAAAAAAACTAAATTCTCCCAAAATTAATGAACAATAAAGAAATGGGCAAGTGAACTAAACAGAACTTTCTCAAAAGAAGAAATTCAAATAGCCAAAAATCACATGAAAAACTGCTCAACCATTCTCTAGCAATAAAGAAATGCAAATTAAAACCACACTAAGATTCCAACCTCACCCCTGTTAGAATAGCCATCATTAGCAACAACACCACAACACAGGTGTTGGCAAGGATCAGGGGGAAAAGGAACCCTCTTACACTGTGGTGGGAATGTAAACTAGAAAACCACTCTGGAAAAAAATTTGGAGGCTACTTAAAAAGCTAAACATTGATCTACCATTTGATCCAGCAATACCACTCTTGGGGATATACCCAAAAGAATGTGACTCAGGTTATTCCAGAGGCACCTGCACACCCATGTTTATTGCAGCACTATTCACAATAGCCAAGTTATGGAAACAGTTAAGATTCCCCACTACTGATGAATAGATCAAGAAAATGTGGTATTTATACACGATGGAATTTTATACAGCCATGAAGAAGAACGAAATGTTATCATTCATTGGTAAATGGATGGAATTGGAGAACATCATTCTGAGTGAGGTTAGCCTGGTCCAAAAGACCAAAAATCATATGTTCTCCCTCATATGCAGACATTAGATCAAGGGGAAAAACAACAAGGTGATTGGACTTTGATTACATGATAAAGCGATAGCATACAAGCGAGGTATGAGGATAGGTAAGAACACCTATAACTAGATAGCATTTGTTGCCCTCAATGCAGAGAAATTAAAGCAGATACTTTAAAGCAACTGAGGCTAATAGGAGAAGGGGACCAGGAACCAGAAAAAAGGTTAGATCAAGAAGAATTAACCTAGAAGGTAACCCACATGCATAGGAAATCAATGCGAGTCAACTCCCTATATAGCTATCTTTATCTCAACTAGCAAAAACTCTTAGTCCTTCCTATTATTGCTATACTCTCTCTTCAACAAAATTAGAGATAAGGGCAAAATAGTTTCTGCTGGGTAGCGGGGGGTTGGGGTGGGGGGGGTAGGGGGGAAGAGGGATGGAAGGGGTGGGAGAAGGGGGAAGAAATGACCCAAACATTGTATGCACATATGAATAAAATAAAAAATTTAAAAAAAAAGAATGGGATCTTGTAAAGAATGGTAAAAGTGAAAAGGCACATTAAAACTGAACTTTAAGAAAGAATAAAATTCAGTAGATGTGATCTTTGCAATCTGTTTTTTACATAGGGTGATAGCAATGTAACTCTGACGTGAAAACATGAACACCTTGTGTGTTAGTGTGAAGATAAAATTAAATAATCTGGTAAAAACACTTTAGAAACTGTAAAGAACAGTGGCAATTTGTTCTTGGTGAAAATCAAATCCAATGTAGCCTTTAAAAAAAGGCCTTAGTTTCAGGTACTTTCCTGATGCTCACTTTGCAGCTATACGGCCCTCCTTTCAGTTCTACCAACACATCTTTCTGTCCTATTTATCTTGGGACTTTTGCAGGTGTTTCCTGAGTCAGGAGTACTCAACTGCACCAAAACCCTTTTTGTCACCCCCTTCTAATGCCCACATTTTGGATAGCTGGCATAACTTCATCCCTTGTCCCAAGGACTCAATATCAGCTAAGTCTCAGATAGGCCTTTCAGTCTAGCTTTTAAAAAATCCTTCCAAATACCATTCTCACACCTTTCCCATTAGAAAATTATAACAATATATAATTACGTCCTTGGTTTCTTTTCTTTTTTAGACAGGGTCTTGCTATACTGATCATATTGATCTTCAACTTGTAGGCTCAAGTGGTCTTCTCATCTCAGTCTCCCAAGCAAATGAATCTATGTGTGTGCTACCACACATGGCTATATTACATCATTGATTTTTGCAACCACAGACACCCTGAGCAATCACACATAGTGAGAGTTACTTCTAGGGACTCAATCAATATGTGCTGAGTACATTTAAAGAACATAGGAAAAAAGAAGAATCAAATACACTTAAGTATAATATTAAAACCACTACATTCACATCCTTTTGTGAATGTGTATCTACAAATATTTACGTATCTTTGCCTGCTAAATTCCTTTAAACATTTCCTTCCATGATTAAAAAAATTAATTACCAAACAAATATAGGTATGTAAATAGTTGCAAAGTTGTTCACCTCACCACATAATTATAGTGTCTAAAATGCACAATATCTCAAGACCACTATTTAAAATGTTTTCTATGTAAGACTAGGAATCAGAGGTTAAATATCACAGAAAGACAAAGCATTTCGGATATAATTAGTTTTAGGAGCATAGTCACATTATTAATACTTATGGAACATTCTGAATTTTAGAGTGAGTACCTGTAGTATCTTGCTTGGTCATAAAGGACTCTACGCCTGTAATAGCTGGAGGCCGAGGTAATCGCCTTGCAATACAGATCAAACATGACTGGAAATCTGCCAAAAACAAGAAGGAAATTTAAGGAAAGAAGGTAGAAAAATGTTTACACTTAGGTTTTTTTTTTTTAATAAAAACAATGCATTACAGGATTTATCATAATATTAGAACTACACTGAACTAAAACTGCCGACAAACCAAGTCTGTCAGCTCTAGGTAGAATGCAAGTTAAAACAAAGTGCTGCTTTAGGAATACTCTTACAAAAATATGATACATCTCATGTAGGTGAGTGATAACAACTAGAAATAGTAGTTTGGATTCCATTTAAGCAACCTCATGTCGTTTTTATTTGTTATTTTGCTGGTGTTGGGGATTAAACCCAGGGACTTGTGCATGCAAAGCACGTGCTCTATTGCTAAGCTATACCACCAGCACTAAAACAGTGTTTCAGAAAATGTAATTTTGTAGTCAATTTCCTATATTCATTAGAAACTAATTTTGCAACAAATATTCTGATACTCAACATACATGTACTTAACTAAGAAAAATAACTTGTACTTCTGAGGAAATAGGATTTTGCTTTTAACAAAGGTTAGGCAGTCTTCATATGTAGCCCATGCTGACCTGTACATGTGTTTTTTACCTTAAAGAACCTAACTGATACAAGTCTTATTTATAGATTCAGTAGAGAATGATCTGTTTAAATCTATGGGTCTAAATTTCAACATGGATAATTTGGGTTCATTTGGTGGGATTTCTAAACATGATTTTTAAATTTTTTTTGAGAAAAGTTCTCTTTTTGTAGCTTAGGCTGACCTTGAAGTTACAACCCTCCTGCCTCTGCCTCTGAAATGCTGGGATTATACTCATGTTTCACCATGCCTGACAACAGAAGACTGTGTTTTTAGGACACACATTTTTTTTAAAACTTTCAATTCTTGTTTTAAGGGTGCAACATACAATATCATACAGCTAATCAGTAAGATTTGGCACTGGCATTCTGTGAAAAGTCTCAAACTGATTGTGACCCCCAGTTCCTGGTGAGACCAATTACATACATGGCTTTTTTTGGATGTGACTTTTTGTCTACTCCTTTTCCTGGTCCATATTCCAGTTCCTATTTGTGGTGCTTGTAAAGTTTACATGGAGGACTCATCCACTGTCACATATTTAAGTCCATGCTAACGCATATTAGAATTTCAGCCATGTTTTCATCGATTCGTAAGCTTTCTCTTTATAAATTACCTTGCATAGTCTGAAAAAAAAGGCAATTCTATCCTCCAATGTTCCCTACATTCTAAACGTAAAACTTTCTAAAAATCAGAGCTATTCAACAGCCTGATGCAGCTGGTACATTTCCAACTGACAGCTGTTAGTTGTATCTCTTATTTCTAGACAGCAAGTTGGTTTGAATCATTTGACATTTCAGTAGGAATGCCAGCTTGAAGCTAAAAATTTGGGGCATGCTAAAAGGGAGACTCTAGATGTTAGTAACTGCAGCTTTTTTGAAGTATGATGAAATGCATAGCAAACTGAATTACTGCTATGATATATAATGTAGTAAACAAAAATACAATGTGAAGAAGGCAGTTTATAATTAATTACCTCTATGTTCTTTCAAGTCATAGAAAAAGCAAAGCTTTAAAATGACCCTTCACTTTACCTTCTCCATCTTCTTGAATTGACTTTGGCTGTGACACAGTGAAACACTGCATTACTTCATACCGCTGGCAAGCTTCTTGGTTCTCAGTACCTGGCTCGTCTGGAGGGTGAATTAGCATCCTGCAGTTAAAAGTATGGCTATTTCGGCGTGTTGCCTCTTGAGGCCAAGGAACTCCATTTACTGGGAATGGAAAATTCATTTATGTGCTTGTGAATAAGGCAAAAAAAAAAAGTACAAATTCTCAAGATACAAAAACGTATTTCAAGCCATCTGGCTAATTAGATACTCAGATTAAAAGACAGATCTCTGTAGGGCTAACCTTATCCCGCGTCAACAGAATACTAAACAGAAAAATCTAAAAACCTATCCGTTAGAGATTTTAACATTTCCAAAGAAATATATAAGATTTACTACCTCAAATATTCTATTTCACCAACAGCCTTTAAAAATAGTTAAAAGACAAAAGTAAAAATCATTAGCTATTTTGTTATAATTTCATAGCAGCTAATTAGTGAGCTTTTCTGTTTGTTCCCAGTTATGCCTGGACAATGGGGAAAAATTTCAAAACCACAGCTACAATGTTAAGCAGGAGTATTTACCATGCCATCCTGGATCCTTAAGGATAGGCTTTGTGTGTTTTGTTTCTCTAAGGAGTCTGAGAAGACTCCAAACAACACTTAGAATAGGGGCAGAGCCATGACAGTTTCTTATAACCATTTTTCTTGGGCTTTAATTTATTAATTAAACTAGCACAGCTCATATGCTACAATACTTTGAATACAGTAGATAATCAAGTATGTCATGCTCTTATATAACAAAATGAATTCGGTTATGGAAAAGACGTCTATGTATTTCAAGTAAGAATCACTGACTGTGTGGCAGGTCACGATTTCTCATAGTGTTACATTCAGACCATGGAGGTCATGAGGCAGCCAGAAGGTTTTTAAGGCTGCTCTCTAACCATTCCCAAATGTTTTCTTACCTTATATTCTCCATTGACCCACTTCCCTTACTGTTAAAAGATAGCATGGAAACAAACCTATATTGGAATAAGGAGTCTTGGGCTCTACTTTTAGAGAGCTATGAGGTTTAGGTTAATTAATGTATGATTTCCAGTTACATCATCTTTTTCTTTTTGGGAAGGGGGATTTTTTGACAGAGTCTTGTTGTGTAGCCCAGGCTGGCCTTGAATTCTCAATCCTCCTGCCTCAGTTTCCTGAGTGCTTGGATTATAAGCATGCATCATGACACCTAGCTCAATTGCTTCATCCTTAAAATAAAGAGATTCACTATTTATCTTTAAAATCATTATGCTCTAAAATTCTCTAATTAAACACCTAAAGTCCCTTGATACTACAGTTCAAATATTAAACTAATGATCTTGTACAAGGAATAATTTCAGGTCCCCCGCTAATATAAACACATGCCACTCTTCAAAGAAGAAATAAGGTTTCTATTCTATTCAGAGAACAATTAGAAAATAAAAGGCTATGGATGACATTTCATATACAAATCTGGTTTACTTATATACATTTCTGGCCAGGGCCTTTCTCTACCCATTTTTAGAGCCTAAAGAGTTGAAGAAAGTGGAAAGAAAAAAATCACTGGGAAAACTAATACACTCACTCATTCATGTTTTAGTGCTCTCTATATGTGCTGAATAAGCTAAGTTCTCTAATTCTTTAGAAAATTCTCCAACTAAAGTAGATAAGACCCTACGATAAAAAATAATTTTGTTTTAAGCTTTTGTCACTTAAAGCATGATATTTATCCTGATCTATTTGGCTGTAAGGGACGGTTTCAACTTACTGAAGTATTTACAAAGCCACTTGCTAAATGTTGCTAGAGAAAATTCAGCAAATATCTAATTCTACACAGTTCATGTAAAAAGAAAGAGAACAGAGAAAACAAAAAATGAGCAGATGGGTGGCTAGGCGTCTGAGTAGCATAAGGAACCAAGAAAAGAATAGATAGTAAAAAGGAAGAAAAGGCATTTCCTTGAAGTTTAATTTCATAGGCTGTTACATTATACCTAAAGTGTAAGAAAAACTTTTTGAGAAGTCCAAAAACAAAATGTCCAGAACTGATCACTATACTTAAAGCAACTAACGTAATTTGGCAACAATTTATATACTAACTATCATATCATCTTAAAGCAATAACAATAATAATTAATAACAAGATCATTTTCGAATATGCTGATCCTCCAATATATGCTGGCAAATATCTCAGGTGATCTTTCTAGATTCCCTATATTTCATAATATTAATTCTTAAAAATTACTCAAATTAATTTACCATGATGGAGCTTATAGTTTTTGAGCCTAAATCTTCTTTGAAACAGTTAAGTACTATAGTTAACAGCTACATTTTCATGAAAAGGGACAACAGCATCACAAACATAAGGCTCTGTGTTCTCTGTGGAATGGAAGTAAGAGGACAGATCTAGATGAGGTATAAAGCTCTGACAAAGCTCAGTACTTTGTGGGAGGGGGCAGTTTAGATTATCCAGCTTGAAAGTGGTTTTCCTAATCTTTACACAACTGCTTTCATTTACCCATCACATGATTCTTCTTTTTAAAATAGGTGTAAATGCCACTGCTAATATTAAAAAAAAAAAAAACCCTTATAACATAAAAGTATTATGAAACAAAAAAGAAGAATTTTTTAAAGGTGAAAGTAGCTGTTCAGATGCTATTTTAAAAAGAACTGAGAAGAATGAAACTCTCCTACTGAATGTGGTCTGTAAAAAAATTTGCCTCAATACCCTCTATGGAACAGACTACAGAACACACAAAGACGGATGTCCTTCCTGACATCAGTTTCTAAGCTTCAAACATCAAGTAGTTTTGAATAATACATTCTTATAAAGTTATCATTCCTGAATTTAAAAGATCTAAAACATTCAGATAAAGACAGTAATAGTAACAATAATAGCTAAAATTTAAAAGGAACTTGCTAAGGAATGTGCTAAGCACCATTTATTTACCCTTCAACATTCCTATGAAAGATGAGGCCTAGAGGGAGGTCAAGTGTCCTGTCCAATGTTATACACCTAGTAAGTGGTAATGCAAGAATGAATTACCCATGTCTGTTTTACACCAAAACGCTATGTATGTTCTTAACTACTACAGTGTCTGCATCACTAGACAATAAATGTCATGAATCTATAAGCACAACTTACTTAAAATGTTTTCAAACTTAAAAGTCTCAATTTATTAGAATTTTGCAAATAAGTCTATGTTTACTAACATCTTATATAAGCTTTTTATAACTACCTGAGCAGTCATCTGTCCACATTTGTCCTTCTGGATAAAATCTCTCACTGTACTAGCTTCCCAGTTTTCAGATTTGATTTTCTTTTCGTATTTTTATTGTTGTGCTGGGTGGATGCACATTGTGGCATTTACAAAAATTCTTACAATGTATCAACTATATCATACTTAATTCCCACCCCACCATGATTTTTCTTACAAACAAAATGTCATGCTTAAAAGAAATAGATTTTAGATACTGAAATCTTCTAAATCAATAAATTCAAAAGCAATTTTTAAATAGTTTGGCTTTTGTTTTTTCCTTCAAAAATTCTCCTTGATAATGAATAAAAAGAAGATAATATTTCAAATCAGGTATGTGATACATGCGTATACATGACTACACATATAAGTAATGATCTTAATTTTTTCTTTAAATTTCTTCCTTGATAGTCTTTGAACCTTGATTTTTTTTTTTGGCAATTGATAATGAAACATAAAATTATTTTATTTTGCCTCTCTCTTTGATTTTCTAATAATTTGACTGTTTTGTTAATGGAGGTTTAAATATAGTATTATATTGTATTTTCTCCTCAGTGCTTTTTGTAGGTATCTTGGGAGAGACTATTGGCTTTTCCAAGTTAGTAAGTTGGGCTTCATTCTTGTGTGGGACCATCTCACTTATTTTTAATGGGTGATCAGTCACCACTATAGGTGATTCACTCTGTTACTACAGAGCATGCCATACCTTTAGTGATCTACTCTATTGTATTCTATTGTACTTCTACAAAGGCAGTAGTGCTCCATTATTTGTGATGTTTCTGTTCTGTCAAACTTTGGAAGAATGAGAAAAAGGTGCCTCTACAGCAGAAGTCTCATATCCTTCCCTGTTGTGTGGGAGCCTGCTCAGAGAAATCACCATGAACTGTCAGGTAAACTGAGGACCACATCCTGTAGGTGGCCAGGCATAGCATCACCAGCAAATCAGATATCAGACGATACTCCCTCCTTTTTAGCCTCCTGGCAGAGACAGGGCAACCTGAATAGTCATGGGTCTGCAATAAGCATGCTGGGAAGGGGAAATATTGTGGCCCTTCCGCAAACAGTAAGCTCTTCTTCAGGGGACAGAAGACAG